TGTAAATCAATTAAAATTTAGTGAAAGAATCAATTAAAATCCAAGAGAAACATAATTTCAACACATTATACCCCAAAAAATAGGTACACAGAAAATTCATAATAATAATAATAAAAAATAATGGTAGATTACACAAAATTTCTCTCATTAATTCCAACAAACACTTGGTGTCCAACAAACTCTCGTTGTTTGTTTATGCTCTGTGTGTGTGTAAGCGATGTGTGTGATGTGGGTGCGTGGGTGCTGGGTCTGTGTTGGGTGTGTGTGTGCTGGGTTTGTTTGTGTGTTTTGCGCTGTGGGTGTGTTTGTGATTGTGAAGTGAGAGAGAGAAGTGAGCGAGCAGAGAAGAGGTGGGGGTAGGAGAGAGATGAGGCATACCTGGGAGTGGTTAGCAGCGGCGGTGGTGTTGCTGGTGGTGTCGCTGGAGCGTAAGACAGAGAGAGCGATAAAGAGAGAGAGGCTAAGTGCCGATAGCTGCGGCGGTGGTGGTGGTGGAGTTGCTGGTGGTGTCGCTGGAGCGTAACAGAGAGAGAGAGGGGTAAGGAGTAACAGAAGGTGGGAACAAGAAAAGAAGAAACAGAAGTAGGCTTGTCTAACAGAAGGGAGGAGAAGAATAACAGAGATGTCCCAAGCGGCAGAAAGATGGCTGTCTCACAGGTGAAGTAACTGAGTTGGTCAGATTTTTGAAAAAAATTGTTGGTGAAAAATGATGAATTTGGGAGAAAATGAGAAGTTATTATAACTGTTTATGTGTTATCAAATTTATGGAGTTATCAAATTTATGGAGTTTTCTGTAGTTAATTGGTACAGGTTATTTAATTAAATTATTAAATAATTCAAAATTTAATAATTAAAAAAAATGTATTCACCCAATTGTTTTTGATAGTGTAAACCGAATTGGTGAATAATAAATCGTAATTATGCTTTGCAGTGATGATGTTGTGATAATGAAAGAAATGTTTTTCTAGGGACTGAAAGGATTAACATAGAAGAAGTATAGTGGTTCACTAGTTCGGGAGCTCGGCTAATCTACTCTTTAATGCAGACTCTTGCTCCTTGTCTTTTAATAATGATGATTGCAAGAATACAATACAATGACTAGTTTTTGCCTATAGGGTCCTCTCCTTTTCCTTGGAGGCGTTACATAGTATTTATAGCGTTGTTCTCTATTCAGTGAAATCTTGGCCGAGATTCGTGCCCTTATTTCGTAGAGTTCTCCTTAATTCTAGGAGAAGATCTTGGTTGGTTGAGATTAGGTGCCTTGATTATAACTTCCTAACGCTTTAAAAACATCTCGTAGTTATCCAGTCGTTGCATTGCCTCAAGAGACATTCAGCTCTTGCCTTCTGACCTCAGTTAATATAGCTGACCTCCTAGTCTGAACTGAACTCCTGAGCTAGGGATTTACTTTAGGCATCATGAGTTTATATGAAATTTAAGTAGGAATAGTACACTTGATTGAGTAAGGTAGGCCCAAAAAAATTCTTTTTCAAAGTATCAAGAAAAAAATAGAATACCATAATCCATACCCGTAAGATATGATAAACACCCCCACTCACTTGGGTCACACACTAGCCATGACTGTGATCACCCGTGGCTCAGCCCAAAACTTATTCTTGGTTCTTAAATTTAAGGGAAAATTGTAAAAGAGTTCACAAAATTAGACTTAATTATAAAAAAATATACAACTCTTAATGTTAGGTAATTAAATTCTTATTTTTAGAACTTAATTGTGTTCAAGTACATAATTTGACTTTTTTTGATTTTTTTGACATATTTATCTTAATATAAATAAATAAATAAATAAATATATATATATATATATACACACACACAGAAAAATCAAAACTCATAATAAATCGTCTTCATTTTTTTAGGGATATGTTTCAAAATTTTTAGAAACTTTTAAAATTTGACAACTAAAATTAAGTTAGTTTAATTATCTTATCTTAGAAAGCACTAAAATTAAGGAATTTTGATTTTATATTAGATGTAATTTAGTGACATTAATATAATGTATCAAAACAATAT